AAAAAAAAAAAACTTAAACAAGTAAATTAATCACAAAAGAAAAATATTAGTTAGGGCTTTGGATGTAATAAAACTTTCTCTAATTCCTAAATTTGTCTTTCGTGATAAGAAGCTATTCTATCTAAATGAACTATTTTATTCTTGTGTTTCCTCGATTTCCGAATACAATAAACTACATCATTTAATTTTTTAACGACCTCATATGGTCCTTCCCAATTGCTTTGCAATTTGGGAGTTCTACCAATAATTCTCCGAGGATTGAACAACCAAACTTTTTGTCCAGGCTCAAACCGAATTCGACGAGCTTTCCGATCATAAAGAGCCTTAACTTTTTGAGATCTCATTCTCAACTGTTGTCTGACTTCCTCATGGATTTTATTTAATTTTTCTTTTAACTTTGTTACATAACTTCCTTCTGAATATTCTATTTCTTCAGGGGGACTACCACGAAAAAGATCCAAAGGTAGTTTCAAATCCCGACCAAAACACAATTCAGCAGGGGAAATCTTAGTGATTTCATGTCTAGAAGACCTGTACGCTAATAGACTCATTCCTATCCAACGATCCCAATCTCGTTGATTTTCTGAAACAAATTTGGCCAAATAATTCGTAATTGTTTGATGTTGACGCTCTACTAATCCATTCGATTGGAGATGAAACGGAGTTGTTCTAGTTTTCTTTATCCCTAACAAATGTGACAATTCAAGTAAAAGTCGTGAATCAAAATTCCTTCCTTGATCCGTATGTAATTCAGAAGGTACTCCAAATCTAGAAACTACCTGATTAACAAAAACTTTTGCAATAGTGTTAGCTTTGAAATTCTTTAATGGAAAAGCCTCTACCCATTTGGTAAAACAATCTGACACAACTAACAGATATTTATTCCCTGTAGTAGAAGTCGGAAATGGACCAAGAATGTCCATTTGTATCCTTTCAAAAGGAACTCCAGAATTATAAATTTGCATTTCAGATCTTCCTTTATCAGAGGGACCTTTTTTTGCAATACAAATATCACAGGATCTACATCAATTTTCAACGTCCTCATTGGCAGGAAATTGTTTCGGAAGATTCTTTAGCTAAAGTTTACTGGACGCAATAGGATTCATTGGAGATAAGAAATGGTGTTTTGTATAGGAAATGGGAATCCCCTGATTTACAAACTTATGTTTTTCAAATAATAGTTCCACAAAATAAAATGCAACAGATTTTGGAAGAGGCTCACGATTCTTCTTCTGGAGGACATTTTGGAGTCCCAAACTGAAGACCCCGTATGAGAATAATAAGATTTGTTGTAATAAGTTTAAAAATATTAAAAGTAAAAGAAAATTGTTTTGTTTTAAAAGTTATATTAATAAACAAATGTGTGTTTTAAAAATTGATACGGACTCGGATGTAACATTAATTAATAAAAGTTTAGTGAAAACATCTAAACAACAAACTTTGGTAAGTTTGTCTCATTGTTTGAAATATCCTACAAAAGAAAAAGTTCCTATTAAATCCAAGGTGATTGTATTAATTGAATTAAGAAAATATTCAGTTGAACTTCCGGTTTTTGTAGTAGATAAGGATTGTTTATTAGGGACTGATTTTCTTTCGGAAATAAATTTAGAAAACATTTTTAAACCAATTTTTGGGAATTCTGTGCTGAAAGAGGAGGAGAAATTTGTTTGTTCCCGAATAGAAAACTGTGTTAATAAAGTTCCTCAAATGTTAACTGAACTTTTTGAAAGGAAATCAAGAAATTTAAATAAAGATCAAAAGGATCTTTTTGTTCGATTTTTGATGGATTTTGAGAATGTGTTCTCAGAGGAAATTGTAGCTGGAAATTGTGACATGGTGGAACATGTCATCAATGTAAATAATTTTAATCCTATCAAGCAGACTCCTCGACGAATACCTTTGCGTATGCGACAGGTCCCGAATTCAAATCCCGGACGAGCCCCCAAAATGTTGCGCTCGCGAACAGTCTTTCCGTCACAAACGGCACGCACAAAAAAAAGAACATTTTTACGAACACAACAGAAACTTTATTTCACTCAACCACTGAAGGGTATAACACAGAACAAGCCCGTTTAAATTGTACACCGCTGAGCTAACAGAAACACGTCCGCACTTTTCTGCAGCTCCCGAAAATCTGACATCTGTCTCCTTGTTTACATTCTCTTAGCAACAACTTGTTTATTTTCAATATCCTAGTGACTGTTAAACATTTACTATTTTTTAGCAACTATCCTTTTTTATTAACTCCGCAAATCAATATATCGATCGCAGTTCTATCAGCTGTCAAACGCGATATCGGGCGACAAAAATCAAAACGGCGAGGACGCAACAATATATATATGAGTTTTACTATCTCTCACCATTATATATTACATATACAATAAATGTACATTCGCGAAATCTCGACGATTTTTCGCGCTCACGTGCCACACCGTTGAAACAGAAATGCGAAAGAAAAACAATTAGCAACTTTGGTGCGTAAGCGACTTTCGATTGCTCGTTGTAGAATTAGGCGATTCAGCATGTTATTTACATACGTGCGTCTCGAGGAATACAGAGTAAAGTAATAACTATATACGAATTTCGTGCTCTTCGCGCGATGGCTTGCAGAAAAGCGGCGCGGTGTTTGTGTAGAACTGCTACGCATAATTTACAGCATGTGCGCGTGTGTTTTGACAAATTTAAACGTAACAGCCTGTATTGTGAATGTGTGTGTATATGTGTGTATATACAAATAAGTTCCCCGCGAATAGATCTGCCGGATCCTTTATTCAACGCGGATTCACGCCGATATTTGCATGTAGCAACCCGGCTATATCGATCAAAAATAAATGCATGCGTTAAATCCAAGCGGAAATCGTATGCAGGATCAGTCTGGCGTCGATTTTTCTCCGACGAAGCTTTTGGCGATGCTAGAATAATTTTTCATTAATAAAGATTAGAGAAGTTTGTCTTTTTCCCCCCCAGAAGAGGAAGACGAAAGCTGAAAAATAAAGCTAATTTCCGGTTAATTTCATGTGAAATTCGTTTCAATAGTTTCTTTATTCGAGATTTACAGGTATCTTTTTTTTTAAATTTGTTTTTAAATAACAGAAGAGTAGTCTTACTGTGCAATATTTGTCTTTCTAAAAAAATTGGTTCGACAGAATTACCGAGGAATTTGTTATTACGATCGGTTTAATTTACACCAGAACTGCTTCCGAAAGAGTTGCAAAAAGTTGTTCTCTTGAGAACGATCGACGGCGGACTTTATACAAGAACAAAGTCGACGATAATATGCGAAATCCATCGTTTGTGTTGAAGTCACTCGTGCGGTGTGTGTATGTGTATGTATGTTTGTGATTAATACACTTTCGCTCAACAGTGAGCAAAATATTGTTTGTTACATGCATCGAGCAGACCGGCAATGCGGCCACCAGGAAACATGCCGAGCAG